CTTTTCCTTGTAAGTTGCTCAGCTATATACTCTTAATTATATTTCATAATTCGTAATTCGTTTAGGTCTTTCAAATGACATTGAAGTCAGTGATAAACATACATTTTGTGGGGAATTTTTCAGAAAACAGCATTTCTGGTTGGCCATTCCATGATTGGTTTTAACATCTGTGCCATTACAGGCTGCCAGTTTCTTAAAATATTAGAAATCACAGTGTCTGTTACGTTAAATCAAACGGTAATGCCCTTGTTACTTATGCCCATACACATTTTCATTAAAACAAGCTGCAAACCCATAATAAATTTATTCTTATAATAAGGTTATGTTAAGCCTAATAATCTCTAATATGTTTCATCAGTGCGTGACATTTGCATGTGATTCAGCACATCGTGCACTCTAACAGTGTTGATGTGTAGGTTACATTATGTGATAAGTTGTATATAAAGGTCTGTCATTAAGCGAATTACATAGACTAAACCTCAGAAATGCATCACTGTGCTTTGCAACATGAAATCATGAAATCACAGTGAGCCAACACCAAGTGAGAGCCAAGAGGAATAAATGCATATTTACTAGTGGTGTGCTATACTGCAAATGTTGGTATCAGCTAGTACTGATACCATTACCGACACTTGTACTTCTAAGTTATAAAGCAAGCTTATGTGAAGAAGAACAGTGTGTCATGACTTATGACATGAATCATCATCAGTTTACAAATTCTGAACACACTTCAATGGCCACTAAATCACTATAATTAGTTAAGAGAAAAAAACCTGAAAGACACTTTTTCATCCATTTTTGTGAAATTTATTTGTTTTGCTGCTGTTTTCACACAGCTGATATAGTATGAGGACAAACTCCTTTGACTTCCTTTGTATGTTTTCTCATTTTCAAACAGTTCAATCATGTGATAAATGCAAACATACCCTAAAACTAACTCTGATTTATTTATATTGTGCTTGTTTATTTAGAGACTATGGATCCAAGCAAACAACTGGGTTCTCTCAGGTATGAATGATTGATTACCCTCTAACCAAAGGAATATATTACTTAGTATATAGCATAGCTTAGCACAAAGACTGGACTCTGTTAGCCTAGCTTTATCAGAGGAAAAATAAGCTCTTCTTTTAATCTGGTTCAAACGGTACTAGAACCTGACAATTGCAGGATAAGAGGTTAGAGATGCTATAATCATGTGGGTTTATCAAAAGGTTAGACTGTTCCCTTATCAGTCTACGACAATATAAGCGTGATGTCCATGTTAACATGCTAACAGAGAATGCTTGTCTGACCCCCCTTCTCCTTTCAGAGTGGGAAGTGTGGAAGACAAAGATCTTACATCAGAGATCAAGAGGCGTAAGTCTGTTGTTAATTTGATTAGTGGAAACAAAGCAGCACATATTCAACCCAACATCACTAATTCACATCTCTGATATCAGGAGTCATCATCCTAGTGTCAATCGGTGAACAGATGATGGATCAATAACTCCAGCTGGATTGTGTTTGTTCTCTCCAACAGATTCCTGTAGACTCACAATCGACACAAAATCAGTGAGCAGGAAACTCGAACTGTCTAACGGAAACAAGAAGGTGGCCTATGTGGGGGGACATAACCTACATCGTTTCCATAGACACGGATTTCATTCTCCTCAGCTGCTGTGTATAAACGGTCTGACTGATCGACATTACTGGGAGGTCGAGTGGAGTGGAGATGTTTACATAGCAGTCAGTTACAGTGGAATCAGTAGGAAAGGAATAACTGGCAACAATGAGTTTGGATCAAATTCTCAGTCCTGGGCACTTGTAGTAAAAACGGGTTCATCCTCTGTCATTGCAAAGCACGATAACACAGAAACACCCATCGTCTCCCACAACAGATTTAACAGAGTAGCAGTGTATGTGGATTATGCTGCTGGCATTCTGTCCTTTTTCAGTGTTTCCTCTGACACTCTGATCCACTTCCACACATTCAAAACCAGATTCACTGATCCTCTTTATCCCGGATTTGCAGTCTTCCCTGGTTCCACAGTGATTCTGCCCTGAGTTTAATCTAAAGAGTTTTGTTCTGTTAGAGAAACGATGACTGTTGAACAAATAGTTCAGTGTATATATATATGTATATGTATATATATATTTAAATATATTTACAATATTATAGTTTAATCTTCATGAAGAGAATCAACAAACCTCTGAGGTTTGTAGTGGTAGTATTTCTTTTACTGTATGTCAGCAGTTGGATTGTTATTTGCTGTTCGTTATGTATGTTGGTGACTGTAAATTACAGTGCATTGCCTTGTCACAACATGTGCTAAACAGAAGCCATGGTTTATGGCTTGTCAAGCTAGCAAAGTATGAGTACTCAAAAAAAAGTCAGTCATCACTTTCCCTTTTCAAGAGATTTTCAGAGAATGTGGCAGAGCATCCAAACCATACAAGGCCCCAGCACGTATGGGCATTATTGAGGCCTCTCTACCAGGCGCACTTGTCATTGTGTTAACTGCGTGTGTTGTGTTGTTTTTGTGTTACTGGAACTAATTATCATTAAAGTGGAGTTATATTTATAATATACCTGCTTGCATGTGGTTTATTTCCATATACTCTATTTTAATGAACATTTTATATCACAAGCATCATAAAGTGAGTGTCAGTAGTAAGTAACACCCTATCAATAGAATTTTGAAGTGTGTGTTTAATACATATACACTCTTCATATTGCCGACTTCCTTGACTCACACACTGCCACACTTAGCATAGAGCATACAAGTATGTACAAATAGAGATCACATTGTTATTCTTTGATGGTAATTCTGTGCAAAGTA